TAAGCATAGAAGCTTGAAGCTTTCGAGCTTCTAAGATTACATCTTACGTGTTATGTTTTTGCGAACACGTTGTGAATGAGCCTGTTTATGGACTTAGTTCTAACATTTATGTTAACGCCATGCGTATGTTTATGTTTGCATTCTGTAAGGGCCTTAACAGCTGCGAACGGTACGGTGTGAATGGCGGAACTTGCATCAGCCACCACGCTAGCACCCCTAAGTTGCCGAAATAAAACATCTTCAGTTTTCTATCTTGTAACGCAGCGGTAGGTGGATGAATATGTCAAAGTAAGTTGCTATGGGGCCTGCATTAGGCAGGATTGACTAGTATATTTATCTGAAGTGTCTGCAATAAGTTTAAAATCTAAATTTAATATGTTGTGACCGTTGCTATTATCTTTATGACATTGTGTATCCAGAACAATGTGTGTTCCGACAATTGAAATTGTTTACCTTAGCATGCTGTACAGTAGGGAATAAGCAACTTCAGTTACGCGACCGTTTGAAATTTTACAAAACCTTAAAAACTTAAAAAGTTAATATATAATTAAATCACACAATATGATTTTAAATCAAAAAGGCGATTAATTACAAGTTGCACTGTATCTGTGATAAAAATTACTTATTATGTAAAATATATAATAATAATAATAATAATAATAATAATAATAATAATAATCTCAGTATATCATCTAAGGCTGTAATGTAGTAGCCCCTACAGAGCAGAAGAACAGACATGATATGTGGGACGAATTATCCATGAACTTGTCAAATGCAAATATACATGGTGTGAGTAAATAAACTTGCAAATATCAGTGGTGTGTGTAAGGGTGAGGATAGGGCAAGAAGGAGGGCGAGGGAAAGATCGCGTGCTGTCCATGGCCCGTTTGTTAGGATACTGTTCCGGGATTCGCAAGGTGTTGATCGGATAAATCACCGAAAACTACCGATTAGAGCAGCCGGCCTGTAGAATTCTCCTCCAGACAGCGACTGAATTCGACCAAGGCATGTAGGTAGTGGCGAAACGTCTGCCACCGTCGAAACTCGAACCCTAGGACCTTCCGATCAAGGTCTCTGATCCCATAAGCCATTTCAGCCGGTTTAAGTAGCATCGAATCTTCCAAAGATCCTCCCCGCTAAGGTAGGAGAATTTTAGGCTACCATTTACTTCATTATTACATTTTGAAAATAAAGTTAAAATTTTAAATTTTGTCATCATTTTGAATCATCATAATCATTTAAAGGTAAAACTTTTTAATTGACCCTGAAATAGTTATGAAACAGCAGCTGGTATACACTCCTCGAGACAAAATTTAGCTTACGATAATACTAATTTAACACAACTTAGCTTACGATAATACTAATTTAATCACAAAAGTCTTTTGAAGTACATTATAAATATTAATGATATTCTTTACACGTGTATATCCTAACCAAAACATATATTTTATGATGACTTAAATAAGACTGATGAAAACGAACAAAATTCATTACTTGAAATTATTGTCAAGTTGTAACTCTGCATTTGAACATATGATAATATGATGTTAAAATATCATTCTTCAAGAAACTATTAGTTACGCATCCGATGGTTAAGTTAGTAACTTTGTTCAATGTTTAGACGGAATTCTCACTGCTTTACATAATGCAACTGGGAGAGAGTCAGAAGCACGTTTTAACTATTTTTGGAGCAAGCCTAGTGACAGTTTAGTAATTATTCACAAAACCAATTTCTCTCACTGAATTCATAGACCCAATAATGATGCGACCAATTAGCAAAATCTATCACATTTAATACATAAAAAAATACACGATAAAATTAAAATTTTCTCCACAATATTAATTAATTTCATGTATTGTGTTCGTACTGGTCTGTACTTTTCTGTTCTCTGTTCTAATAAAACGTTAGAAGAGCATCCCATTTTTCTGATTTAGTTTCTTTATTTGGTGGTTTTATTTCTACTTTGATTCTATTTCATCATAACAATATCTCTGATATTAAGCAATTGAACTTTAATGACTGTAAGTGGTAAACGAAAACAAAATTGTACAATTTTATATGTGATATTTTAAAAAATATTTCACATTGTTTTTTGGAAACGTCTTCAAAATCGAAATTTGGGTAACAATTAGCAAATCCGCTTGTAACGAAAGCATGTTACGGAATGCCCGACG